AAAAAATTATATATATATATATATATATATATATATATAAAGGGGAAAGACGCCGTGGGTCTCGAAACGGTGGAAACAATCAGGGTTTGGGACAGAGAGAAATAAGCCAGCGGAGAAAAAAATGGAATGAACACAGCTCAGTATTTTATAGAAAGAACTGAGTCCATTCACTCTTCCCAGTAACAAGAGGGAGTGATTCCAAGACAAGGAATCATCACTGTGAACAAGTTCCTGTGGCCTGACCTACTTGGGGACCAACTCTCACAAGAGGCATTCGAAACCCAGGGCGTGTAAACGCTGGAATGACCTGGGGGGCAGCCTGGGTTGCTTACAGCTGATTCACTTCGGTACCATCTGCAAAGCCCTGACTTACAAAGTCATCATCTGGGTGGGTGACCACATAAACTTCCACTGAGTAACCTCATCACATGAAGTCAGGTACCTGGACCAACAGAGACTGTGGCTCAGCTGCAGTGGTATTGGAGGCAAACCCTTCTATTAGGGCTTTTCTGGGCAATTGTAATGGTGCTTGCAATTAATAAGCATCTAAGTCATGTTTATAGATGTACAGATGTCTCTGTCGTATCTATTTTAAAGCAGGGAGGCTTTGTAATTGTTAAATTGGGATCCTGGTGTCCCATTACTTCTTAGGTGTGTGGCCTTCGGCAGGTGACTTAACCTCGCTGAGCCTGTTTCCTTGCTGGTAAAGCAGGGACCCCCTAGATTGTCGTGGGGCTGAAATGAGGGAGCCGGAGGGGAGCACAGGCCTTGGGGTTAGTCAGGTCTGAATGATTTTTCTGCTGTAAGCCTCAGTTTCCTCTATAAAATGGAAGTAATGCTACTTTCCTTCAAAGGTTACTGCAAAAATGAAAAGAGAAAAAACACCATGGGAAATGCTTAGCACAGAGTGCAGAAGTATCAGTTCCCTCTCCTTCCCTCCTGCTTTCCAGAGGATTTTTATTTATTGCACCCAGGAAGTCAATCCTTTGCCCACCTCTGACACAGCAAGGCAGCCCCCTGAACTGCAGTTGACTGCTGCCTATTGGTGAAGTATGATTCCCATTGAAATCCTCAGTTTTTGTTGTTTTCAAATAGCTTCCATTGGTTTCAGCTTAAAATTCCCCATTTGTTCAGCATTCAAACTACTCACTAAGGACCCAAGAAGCAGTCAGGAGGGGAATGTTGAGAGGAGTAGAAGTGGGAACTTGATGGAGAAATTTTAAAACTGAAACCAACTTGTGCACCTGATTACGGACTTCCCCAGCAGGTATATAAAGACGGGCGCAAAATCCGGAAAACCCAGCTGTCCTGTGGCTGAGCAAGTTACGCATTATGCCACCAAGAATAGGAGAAGTAAACTTGAAGTTTCCCCCAACCCACAGGATTCGAGATGTGTCAGGGCCTAGCTGCTCGCATGAAAAGGCCATGGGCTTCCCCCAAGCTGCAAGAATGAAAGTGACCATTCTAAATGTGTCACCAGGGCCTGGCCGGTGTGGTTCAGCATTGTCCCGTGAACCAAAAGGTCACCAGTTTGAGTCCAGTCAGGACACACACCCAGGTTGCCGGTTTGATCTCTAGTTGGGGCGGACGGGGTGCATATGGGAGGCAACGGATTAACCAACCGGTGTTTCCCTCCCTCCCTCCCCGTTTGGGAGGCCGCCAGTCAACCCATCCATGTTTCTCTCCCTCTTCCTCTTTCTAAAATCAATAAAAATATTTTTAAAAAAATAAATAAAAATAAATGTATTGCCAGGCTCGAATTTGATCTCTAGTCCCCTGTACTGTCTTTATAGAGGTTTGGGTCTGAATTATCAACTCTTGATAAGAAAACAAGTGGCAATTATACCTTGTTACAACTGGGGAATATTAACCCATTAATTGCTTAAAAGATTTCTGGAAATTCCTAAACTGATGCCAAATATTATTAATCACATTAGGTCCAAACTACACATTCTGCTACTAGTGGCAACCTTTGGTGGATCCTGCAAAATTAGAGGAAATAGAAAAAATGAATGCACTTGACTGAGAGGACAAGGCTAGGAGGTCTGGCCAATCCTTTTGTAGCCCCTCCAGCCTTTTCAGGAAATGCCTTATAGTTTACCCCCCTTTGAAAATGTTGCCAGGGAGAAGCAGGCATAACTCGTTCTGTTACTCAACATGTCTGTTTCCAGTTACAGTGTCATAAGTATGCAAATAATCTTTTCTTGAAACTCTGAAATCATGAGCCTAAATATAATTGCCAACACAGCAGTTGTCACAGAATTTGGAAAGTAACTGTCTAAAAAATACTTCACTTTTCTCTTTTTCATTAGTGTTCTCTCTCAATCCCAAACTAATGGCCAGCACAATGTACAAACAGTTCTCAAATACCTGAAGGAAGGTACACCTCCCAGCCCTCTGGGCAGATACCACTGGTGTGCTTCCCTGTAAAGGTCACATCATGATTCCCACGTGAAAAGCAGCAGGAATAAGAACCAGCTTTAAGGCCTTAAAACTTTCTAGAAACTAAAAGACAGATGTCTTCTATTTTATATGCTATTTAAATGATCACTATTATTACATGAAATTAAGACTATTCCTGAACATTCTGTCAAATTTTAAAAAAGAGATTCTAGAAAATGGTACCCCACTTTAAACAGTAAACAATACTTCAAAGCATGGTAAACCGCCTTTAAAAATGAAACTGCACTTAAAAATCACCTTTCCCTATAACTCGTTCCATACTGAAGTGAGAATCGGTGAGCTGTCTTTGGTATTTTTCTTGACACCCAAAAGAAACTATCACTTACTTTATATTCCTAGTATGTTCTTTCAAATTGCTGAATTTTAAAATGCCGTCTGAAAATTTCTCTAGCGTTTCATTTGATGACACACATTAGTTACTCAGATTCTGGGCTTTTAACTTTTTGAAAAAATTAAAATGGCAAGAATTAAAAAGCCACATATGGCATAGAGGGAGAAGCCCTGGCTCCATTCCGAGGCAGGTGAGGTTCCAGTTCCGGTTCTAAGGGTGCCAGCCCAAAATCTCACCGCTAGACAGACGTGTGATCCTGAGCCAGTCATTTAAGTTCCTTGGATTTGTTTTCACATCTGTTAAAGAAGATAGAAGAGCCCTAGCTAGTTTGGCTCAGTGGTTAGAGCATCGCCCGAGGACTGAAGGTGTCTGATTCCCAGACAAGGGCACGGACCTCGGTTGCAGGCTCAATCCCCGGCGGGTTGGGGAGTGTGCAGTTGGGGAGCATGCAGGAGGCAACCAATCGATGTGACTCTCTCACATCAATGTTTCTCTCTCTCTCCCTTCCACTCTTTCTGAAAAGCAATGAAAGAAAAAAAAAATCCTTGGGTGAGGATTGAAAACAGTAAATAAATGAGACAGAAAGAGCTGTTGGTTACCTTAGGACCCTTCCAGCCTAGTATGCTAATCAACTTTTTACAACAATGCAGGACGAGTTAAGTGCTGGGCTGTGTGGGCAGGTCCTGAATGAGAGTTTTATCTGGGTCATTGATAAATGAGGAACCCACCCTTGAATAAATTAATCAACCTAACGAAGTCTCGTTTTTAAAAGAGGGTTAGAAAGAAATACCTTACGAGGTTTTTGTGGTGTTAAAATGAGATAACGTGTATATAAAACACTCTCAGCGGAATACTGGGTGAATTTAATCACTCAACAGATATATTTATGATGCTCTCGCTGTGTGGATTCCCGAATAATAGTTTCTTTACCTGTCAAATGGGGTAGTAAGATCGGATGAAAATCCTGTTCAGAGATGGGAGCTTACATATTAGTAACACGGTTAAAGATCAGAGGTTGGAGAAGGGAGGGCTACTCCTCAAGGCCTGGCAAGCACTGCCTGCCTACCTTCCGGGAGCCACTTTGGTGCCCTACTTTTGTCCTGGCAGAGGGTGTGACAGGACTTGGACATCACTGTGCTTTTTTTTAATTCACGGTAAGAAATTCAAAGATTCACGACTTTTACTAAGACTGCACCCAGCCAAGAGACCTACTGGGTTCCTTCCTTTCTCCCACCCTCCACCCCCTACCTATTCTGTATTTTCCCAGTTGGTTATTATCATTATTACTATTTTACCTGCGTGCCGCACTTTAGCTCCGTGAAAATACGTCACGTTAATGTCAGTTCCTAGTTCCACTTAAGCACTGTTAAGAATCCGATTCTGTCATAAAGCACATGCGTACGCTGACCGTCACCCAGTGCTGGGACGCCCGGTGCTTTTTATTTTCTCCTCTTTGGTGTAAATGACTTCACCCAAAGAGCAGGCGCCCGCTACTTGTGTGGCAAGCTGGGGGGGAGAAAAAAATATATAATAAAAAAATAAATAAACATCTAAAAACGAAATACATCTGGCTCGTCTCTTGGCAATTTTTAACAAGCATGCTCTTCTCCAATTCCTTAATAACCAAGGTGAGAGGAGGGGCCCAGCCTCTGAGCCCTTCCGTGGACAGGCTGCCGCGGGGCCAGTGGGCTGGGCACCGTCCTGAACACGAGGGGCCGGGGGTTCCACCCAGGCCAAGGCTCATGCCTAGGTCCTGGGTCTCTCTCTCTCTCTCCTTTTCCCTCTTTCTAAAATTAATACACATATCCTCGGTAAGGACTAAAAAAATAAAAATTAAAAAAAACCCACACCTCCGCATGCATTCCACAGGATAGAAGCAAAGACGGTTTCCACGCGGGGTCAGGGGAGGCGGCGCGGAGCCGCGTGGCCTGCAGCGCGGCCTGGCTCGAGCACCTGGCTTCCCGGGGCCTCAGTTTGCTCACCTGGGAAGTGGGCACACGGCCTGCCTCTCCCCCCGACCCCCGTGGCCTCGGCCCCTCCCGAGGACTGAACGCAGCGATGCCCGCAAAAGTCCCAACCAAACACACGAGAAGGGCCTCAAAGGTCCTGTCGCTGCGACCCTTTCGTTATTTATTATAATAAACAATAATAAAAACAATAATAAACAAGCCAAGGGCCCCACGGCAAGCCGGGCGCTTGGTGTCCGGGCGGCCGCGGGGCAGCGGGGCTGAGCCCGGCGCCCCCCGCCCGGGTCCCTCTGGAGGCTCCTCCGGGCGGAAGTGGGACGCGGGTCTGTTGCCCTGACAACCGCCGCACGCTCCCCCGCTAGGGCGAGGGGTGTCCCCACCTCTTCGGGCTAAACCGCGCGGCCGCACCCGGGGAGGCCCCTTTCCCGGCCACACCGTCCAGAAGATGGGCTCCCGCCGCCGCCGCGCCCCCCACCCCGCTTCCGGGCCTTCCGGCGGCCGCGCCCTGTAACCCCGGAAGTGCTAGGGCGGAGCGGAAGCAGCTGGTGATGCTGGAACAAACATGGCTGCCCCGGCGCCCGTCGGCCCCTCGGGCCCCCGCTGTCCTCGGCTGTCCGCGGGCCTCCGGCTGCTCCCGCTGCTGGGGCTGCTGCAGCTGCTGGTGGAGCCCGGCCTGGGCCGCATCCACCACCTGACGCTCAAG